CTGGGGAGGTCGAGGGTGATCTCAGGTTATCTCGGGTGATGTCGGGTGGTGTCGGGTGGGATCATGTCACGGTTGGGCATCGCGAGCACACGCGGCATTGCGTAGCACACGCCCAGCCGGCAGACCCAGCTCACCTTGACAATACTTGACACAGGCTCGAGGCGCGGCTCGCCGAGGCGAACGAACGCTTGGTGGTGGCGGAGGCGGCGGCGGCGGACGAGGCGGCGGCGCGGGCGGCGGCGGAGGGCGCGACGGCGGCGGCGGCCGAGGCGGCGGCGGCGGCGGCGGCGGCGCGGGCGGCGGCGGACGCACAGTTGGCCGGTGTGCGGGAGGCGGCGGAGGAGGAGAGGCGCGCCGCTGTCTCCGCCGCCGACGGCTTGCGTGCGCAGCTCGAGGCTGCCAGTGCGGCAGCCGCGGCCGGTGCCGCGGGGCTGCAGGGGGCGGAGCAGGCGGCATCGAGGGCGACCGCGGAGGCGGCGGCGGAGAAGGAGCGACGGGCAGTGGCCGACGAGACGGCGCACGCCCTCAAGGAGGAGCGCGATAAGCTTCGCGACGAGCTGAGCTTGCTGCACGAGCGTGCGGCCAAGCTGCCGCAGCGCTTCGCCGCCGGCCTGCTCCTCGGCAAGCCGATGCCCGAGGAGGACCCCGCCGACCTTGGCCCGCTAGAGCAGGCGAGATATGCGGACTCCTTTCACACACTCCCGTGCCTCCCTTCTACCCGGACACTCCCTGCAGACACAAGAAGACGCTCCGGAGGACACCAGATTGCGGATGCCCACCTCGTGCAGTTAGGACTCTCCCTTCTGATCCCGGCCGTCTCTCCACCGCCGCCGAGCCCGCCACCGCCCTCACCTCCGCCACCCAGCCCACCGCCGCCCTCCCCTCCGCCGCCCTCGCCGCCTCCGCCCTCGCCGCCGCCGCCTTCACCGCCGTCCCCGTCGCCGCCACCGCCAAGCCCGCCGCCGCCCTCCCCTCCGCCGCCCTCGCCGCCGCCGCCCTCGCCCCTGACCCCGGCCGTCTCGAGCAGATTGCGGACGCCCACCTCGGCAACATCGCCGGCCTCGCATCGATGGCCGTCGCCAAGCTCAGCCCCTTCGGCTGGTTCGGCGGAGGCGCCGAGGGCGGAGGTGCGGAGGAGGCGGCGGCGGCGGCGGTGCCGGTGGCGGAGACGGTGGCGGAGGCAGTACCGGAGGCGGAGGCGGTGCCGGTGCCGGTGCCGGTGGCGGAGGCGGAGGCGGAGGCGGAGGCGGAGGCTGAGGGGCGCGAAGTGGAGGGCTCGGGGGTCAGGCCTGCGGCGGGGTCGCCAGTTCCCGCGGCGGCGGCGACGCAGCAAGGGGCGAGCGAGGAGGAGATGGTGAGAGAGCTGGTGAGTGCCATGCCCGTGGCGACGCTCGCAGCGGCGACGCCGAGCGCGGCGACGTAGGGGGAGGGGGCGAGGTCGCGGGTCTGACGGGGGCCACTTTCCGTGGTCTAGAACAGTGGTCTAGTCCAGAGCCGGATCCGGTGTGCAGAGGAACGCCAAGGGGCGGGGTGTCGCGACACGATTCGTCTGTCTCGTCTTAGCAGGCAGCGGGCAGTGGGCGGTAACAAGCCGTCATTGCCCCTAGGGCCCCCGCCTCGGAGCGACAGCCTCCAAAAACTAGGGGGCGGTTGGGCGGGGGCGATCACCAGCGAACGTGCCCCATTGCGTTCCAGAATGGCTCCATCTCAATGGCTCTGGCGTCACCAGCGCGTTGAAAATGCGCTAGTGAGCCCCAGAACGGCGCTTCGGCGGGAATGCCCCTCCGTCGCGCTTCGAACGCGCAAGGCGCGTGAACGAGCGGAATAAGCGTCCAACCGAGCGGCCGTCGACGAGGGGCGGGACAGAGAGCGAAAGGGAGTCGGCGCGCGGTAGCATCCGGAAGCAGAGCAGTAAACCGGTAGCAAACTGTGTATAGCAGAGCCTCGGGCGTCGTCCGTCGAGCGACTCGACGGAGTCGAGAGCTCCTGTCGTACTGAGTACAGCTATAACAGCAGACAGAGAGGGTCAGTTTCTGCTGCAGCACAATGCCACCCTGCGCCGTCACCGCCGAGAGCCGCCCCCCGCCCCCCCCGCCCCCTACCACGGAGGCAGGCTCGGGCGCGTGTGCTGCACACGGGAAGATGCCCTTCGAGCCGCCCGAAGAGTTTACCCACCCTTTGACGATTGTGCTCGCTACATAATTTCTGAAAAATGGTGTATGAGCGTGGCCGTGTTTAATATGAGTTTTAAGTTGTTAGTGAGTAAGATAGAGCTGGTATGAGTATGTGCCGACTTCGGGTGCTCGGCTTCTCGTGTGCGCCGCTACTAAGTGCGCGCATGTGCAGTTAATGTGGCGCCTACCTGTAGGGCTAGGAAGCGGCTCAAGGAGAAGGCGAGGAAGGGGCGGCGCGCTGCAGAGGCGGCGGGCGAGCCGGAGGTGGCGCCATCGCCGGCGCCGCCGCCGTGGTGTTCAAGACGCTCAGGGAGAAGAAGTCGGCTCAGGCGTCGGCGGAGCCGAGGGCTGGGCGGCGGAGGTGGCGAGGGCCGAGGAGCTCTACGAGGAGCTGCGCGAGCGCGCGCCCCAG